GTTTATTCTTAATGCACCTTTCTCCTCCTTCTTTGCACCTTCTTTGACTTCTATGCCAATATGTGACCAGTGAATTTCTCCGCTGTGAGATCAATAAAACTCATCTAATCTAATCTAATCTAATCTAAAAGTATTTAGATTTAAAAGTAAGTGTATTTGCTGTTAGGTTGGGCTGGTAACGAACAAACGTTTTTTCTTGAAAAAAAATAAATTTAGATACGATGCAAATGAAATCAGTCAATGGAGTTTTTTTTGTTATGTTAAATATAAATACACTGGAAAAAAATCAAAATCTAGATAAGTAATTTTTTCTTAAAAATAAGTGCATTTCTTCTTAAATTGAGGAGATTAAAGAGATATTTTGCCAAAACACAATTGCATTGTCTTATTCCAAGTGCATATTATCTAATTATCTTATTTTAAGGGTAAAAATACTAATTCCATTGGCAAATTATCAAATTTACCTGTTCAAATCAGGGTAAATACACTTAATTTAAGACATTTTTACTTATTTCTAGATCATTTTTGCAGTGTAGTTTTATTGTATTGGAAAATAGTCTTTCAAACCTGCATAAATCAAGAAAAATATTTCAACAAAAAGCAACTTACTTATACTTCCGTGTATTTGGGTATTTATTGGTTAATTTTAAGTAAACATGAGCGCACTGAATGCTTTGGTATCTGTAGCCTCACACTCTGCCTACACTCTCTGATAGTTGCAGTTTGCCAGAAATCTAAACAATGAATTCACACTTGAAGAGGGGAGAGAGCCAATGGGGGGGGGGGGTTCTTATTCTCTGGTTCTGTGCCCCATAAAGAAAAGACCCTTTCCTTCCTGCTTCAGTAAAATAGCAGTTGTTTCATAAACGCCTGCAGCTTAATGTAGCTCGTTTATGTCTGTGCTGCATAAGCTCACCTGGAGTTTAACAGTTAATTTAATGATTATATAGATCATGCTGAAGATCTTTATATAAGCCATCCGGACTGTACATATTTTTATTTTTTATTTGTTATTTTTATTTTGTTTTTAATCCTTATTTATCTTGATATACTGTATATATATTGTTTATTGTTTTATTCTTAATGCACCTTTTTCCTCCCTGTTTGCACCTTCTTGACTTCTATGCCAATATGTGACCAGTGAATTTCTCCGCTGTGAGATCAATAAAGCTCATCTAATCTAATCTAATCTAATCTCTAATCAGTCCGAGATCCAGCAAACCTTTACATTTTTTACTTTTCTTAATCCAGAACTTTCATGATTTCTGTTGTTATAATAATAATAATACTATTTTCTGTGAGATTTTTAACTTGATACCAGCCTAGTAGATTCCAGCCTAGTTAATACGAGCCTAGTTGATACCAGCCTAGTTGATACCAGCCTAGTTGATAGCAGCCTAGTTGATACCAGCCTAGTTGATACCAGCCTAGTTG